GGTCAGTCTTGTGTCCTTCCACGAGCCCTGCCCTCTCCTGTCCCCACGCCAGGTCCCTAACGTTTAATACACACTAGCTTAAGAGACTCTCGTTTTGCCTCCTTAGCATGATCAGAAAATTTTGGACAAGTTTTGATTCAATCTTTGAAATACATTTGGAAATACACATCGTAACAAATATCTGGCTTCCAGGATAAATTATATCTTGATTCTCTGCATCTCAATGAAAAGAAAAACTTTGAACAGAAGGAAAAGGATTCAAGTGAAAACCATCCATTCCCTTGTGTCCCCATCAAATGTGATGGCCCAACTTTATTTGGGTTGCACGTGGGGACGGAGCTCAGGAGTGAAGATGGATGTTGGGGTGTCTGCATAAGCTGGCAGTGGGAACTGTGGGGTGTGCATGGAGTGGATTATCCCTCAGAGTCCACAGCAAATTTGGGTTCTGCACAGTGGAGGTCCAGCGGTCCTCTCTAGGTTTCATTCTCTGGAGCAGAGATGAAGAATCCCTGATGAAATTAACTTACAAAGAAACCTCTCAAGTCTCATTTCTCTGCAGGATTATACATACTGTTCGCTGTTTATCTTTATATTTGTGACACAGAAGTACAATTCATTAAAAAAAATCCAATGAAGAATCACAGTCAACATCTATCAAAATGCATCAAATTGTACACCTGAAATGCATGTAGTTGACCTAAAAGGAATCACACCTCAATAAATGTGTTAATAAAAAAAAAAGAATCACAGTGAAACGTGTTAAATGAAGAACGTTCGTGCAGGTGGTTTGTATTACTTATGATCCCACAGCAAACTTTTTAAAGGAGAAAATACAGAAGGAAGCAGTGGGCATTAGCCTGTGTTTTGGAGAAACAACAGCTGGACCATGTGGGTATTTTCTCCAGAACAAGTACAGTCCATGTGCTGCCTGGCAGAGGAGTCCCTCCTAATACTGGGGACCCCACAAGAGAGGCGTGTGGTGTCCTGAGGGGAACAGCGGGCGCTCAGGGGGCACGTGAGATCAGCGTGCTTCTTGCTTCAGCAGCTTCCGGGAGGGCACCTGGGGCTGAATCTGGGCTTCCCCCTTTGGATCCAGGAGCCACTGAGAGAACCCAGAGTGGTGTGGACAGGAGCCCACACTGAAAGTCAGGGGGGAAGAAGTTGGAGTGTGGATAGGAGCTTGTTCTGGGTGTGTCATGTGGATGGTGGGGAGCAGCAGAGAGTTTTCAGTGCTCAAGACTGAGTAAACCCTTGGGGTGACCCGGGAGTGGGGACTTCAGTGCAAACCATGATGCCCTGGTCCCATTTATCCCCTGGGACAGAGGGAAGAGCAGGGGGGAAGCCTTAGACCCTGCCTCTTTACTCCGGTCATCCTGTGTCCAGGGTCCCCAAGACCTCAGGCCACAGTTTTGGTCACTAAGAAGACTTCTAAGATCCTAGAGACTCACCCTTGTCACTGTGATTTCCTTCAGGAGACAAAGCAGAGTCAGCAAAGGGACGCAGAGGATGAGGAGAAGTCCCAGGAAACCAGGAGAAGCTTCCAGGAGACCTGTCCCAGGGGAGCCACAAGGAAGGGCTTCTTCCCCAGCATCAAATCATGTGATTATCCGGGAAGAATTGTGTCCCAGGGAGGATCCTCAGGCCCTCAAGTTTCTTACCCTCCCAGGGGGCTGGTGTTCTAGGCATCCTCTGCCTGGCACCCACTGAAATTCTGGCCTTTCGGGGGAAGTCAGTGGATGAGTCTAAACCATAATTTCCCATAAACCTGTAGGTTCTGCAGGTCATTCTTATGGGAAAAGAGTCAGAATTTTCCCAAAATCAAATTCCCAGACAAAAACCAAGCGCCTGTCTTGCAAGCAGTGTCTTTCCAAGGATTTTATTCTCAACCTTTGGGCAGCTCTTCCCTGTACAAATCCTGTGCGTGTGCCTGCCCCTGAGATGAGGATCTAGATACAAGGAAAACCAACTTTCACCATCAAGTCAGGTTAGGTTCTATCTCAGGCTGTGCTCTCTCTCTGTAAATGCACACACAGAAGACACACGCGCACACAGCAGCACAAGCACGCACACACACACACGAGCCATCTCTCCTGGGCCCCCTTTATCAACCGGGAGAGGAAGCAGGGATCTGTTCTGTGGGTACCAGGTTCTCCTTTTGCCATCTCATGCGATCTGTGTGACAAGAAGCAGTAGCATGAGTGGAGCTGGGAGAGGAGGAAGGAGAAGTGGCGGATCAGACCTGGGGTGTCAATCCCCTTAAGCTGCCTCCTTGGACACCTGTGGCCACCAGGGGGCAGCGAGGACCTGGGTTTAGGGAGGGTTCTCCTGTGGCTTCCCTGCCCTAGGTCAGGTTCCACAGCTGCTGCCTCCTGAGCCCCCTCATGGAGAGCCTGGGTTGCAAGATCCCCATCGCTTCTGCTTCATGAGCCCTTCAATAGAAACACCAATAAGTGTCCATGAGCCTCTACTGAGAGCACCAGAGTATCAGAGAGGAGATCTGCACAGAGAGGACTCTGCAGCGTCCAAATAGTCCTAATCTTCTGATGAACTCTCAGGAGGGAGGAATCATCCTGAGGTTGAGGAATGAGCCACCAAAGATGCTGGAGGAAGTTCCGCAGAATCACAAACACATCAGAAGTGGACTGCTTCCCAGTCAGAGGGGGAAGCTCCAAATTAAGGCCTCAGGGTGACCAATCAGACAAACTCACACCACTAGTGGAGGTAATCAGCCCCATATGAAAGGCCATCCTGGTTCCACTTAAGAAAATGTAAAATCAGGTGAAGAAAGGATTTGAGTGTCTCCAAGTCACTTTACAGAAACAACCGAAAAAGAAAAGAAAAATCAAACATTCTGGGAGAAATAAAAAGTAACCTGTACCCAGCAAGGAAAATTCACAAGCCCTGAATCCTACCAAAAATATCCTATAAAGAATCAGGAGAACAAGAGCCATAATAACTTGAAAAACTAATTAATCGAAGCTTGACCTGGAATTGCCCAGACAGACAAGCAGACAAAAGCAACGTTTATAACTTTATTCCAATTTTTTCTTGAGATCAAGGAAAGATTGAACCTGGTAAGTGGAGACATGAAATATTGAAAAATAATGCAAATTGAACTTCTACA